TTTCTTGGCTTTTATTCTTGTGGTAGATGGTTCTCTCAGAAATTTCTTCTTACTAAACATTGCTGCAGGTATATATCGCTGGCAAGATGGTGCTATTGTAGCCAACAATCCAACAATTTTTGCTATACGAGAAGCACAACTGTTATGGCCTGATTCTAAGATAGATTGCTTGGTTTCAATTGGTTGTGGGTCTGTTCCAACAAAGGTATCAAAGAATGTCTCCTGATTTTAGTGCATGGCAATAAGTCTTTCACTTCATCACTCTCTCTCTTTCATTTTGGCTGATGGATTAGTTTTTTTACTGTGCTGGTGCTGTTATATTACGATCAGTCCCAGCTATAGATTTACAGTTTTGTTGATTGACTTGTTGCTGTTTCTCTGCCCTCGTAGGTCCGAAGGGGTGGTTGGCGTTACTTGGACACTGGGCAAGTGTTGATTGAAAGTGCATGCTCTGTCGACCGTGTGGAGGAAGCTTTAAGTACATTGCTTCCTATGCTTCCAGACGTACACTATTATCGATTTAATCCAGGTGTGGTTTCTCAGAGAAGAATGTTTTATGTTATGGGTCTTGTCCAGTGATTGATCATTGGTGTAAAAGAAATCTAACCAAAAAATTAAGAAATTCTTTAGATACTAAAAAGATGTTTTTGGGATATTCATCATCCAACTTGTTTGTTGAGAAAAACAAGTAGATTCTAGTAAATTCCTATGTGACCTAAATAGGTGGGAGGTAAAAAGAATAGAAAGAAAGATATGAAACAGGTGGTTCCTTAGTAGAAAGAAAAAGCTCTCTATCATACCCAAAGCAAGATATTGCCAAAAGTTGGTGTATCATTAATAATTATTCACTGCCGCTATAGTGGCATCGATAATCGTTATAATTCTTCAATGAGGGCAATCAGAGTATCTGTTTCTATGATATGTGTAAGTTTCACTATTCATGAATACACGAGTAATGTAAACGTGTTATTTGTGGATGGAATGTTGAGAGGGGCACTTCGATTCTTGTCATATCCATCCTTCTATGGTCTAAATCTGTGAGGGAAGCTCTTGATTTCATGTTTATCTACATTTAGGGAATTACTGGATGTACGTAAGCATTGATTTATTTCCCAAAATATGTGGTTGCTTGTACAGTTGATGAACGTTGTGATATGGAGCTAGATGAAACTGACCCAGCAATCTGGTCAAAGTTGGAGGGCGCTACCGATGAGTACATTACGAATAATTCTGTCACTTTCAAGAATCTTGCTGACATATTGCTCGAGAGTTCACATGATGAAAAATCATCTGATGGTTTGAAGTCTCAGCAGATTCTGAGAGAAAGGGGTACTAAAATAAAATCTGTCATTAGTTGCTTCATTTAACTTCTGTTGTCATTCCATATTTAGATTTGAAGTTTTCTATTTTTTTTTTTTTTAAAAAAAACATTTTCAAATGTATCAGGGTCAAATGAGAGTAATGCCACTTTGGGATGGAGACGTGGTGTACTTCTTGTCGAGGCTTCCAATAGTCCAGATTCTGGAAGAGTCTTTCACCACGCACGTGCTCTCGAGACGTATTGTGCTAGTAATGGGATAAAGTTATCACTAGCTAATGGGACACCTGGGGCCATTAAAGCAGCTCCAGGATCATCACTGCCGACACCATTCACTTCACCTTTGTTTACCGGAAGCTTCTCGTCGAGTCCCCTAATTTACAGCCCCGACATTGGGCCTCAACGAGTCGGTAAAATTGATTTAGTGCCTCCTTTAAATTTGGACGGGTTCCATTCTGCAAAATCAACTACTTCACCCCCAGAGTCACCTTCCAAACGCCGGCAGCTTTCTGTTCCAGTCCTCTCTTTGCATGAGAAAATACAAAATTCACCGCAGGTTGGAGTATGTCATTTGGCACTGCAAAATGATACAAGAGGCTCTATTTTGAGGTATAATGTGCTCCACCTGTTGCCTCTTCTAATTTAGGAGGCCAAAGGTCATCCTTTCGGTTGTAAGAATTATCTTACAACCAAATACATATCTCGAGTTTGGTCTGAATTATACTGGATTTTATTCACTTGAGCTGCATTGCAATCCTGATTTTCTGGTGAAAACATGATCAATGGTTAAGACTTTTTATTTAGTTACAGGACCAAATTGCAGAACTTGATTTTTCAGCACCGAAAGGAAAATGATGTCTATATAGTGTCAGGACTATTTCGTAAAACAGTGTATTTAACATGTTCATTTTACTACCGTCCGAAAGTGACTATTTACAATTTCGTCAAATACGGATTTTATACTTGTTGGTTGCATTCTTTAGTTTCTTTTTCCTTTTCTTTTTTCTTGAACAGTTGGCATAATGACGTGTTTGTGGTAGCGGAACCTGGAGAATTAGCTGAAAAGTTTCTTCAGAATGTCAAATACAGCCTGCTATCAATGATGAAGGGCAGGAGAAGGAAGTATGCATCGGTCATTACCAACATCTCAACAATTGCTGATCTCGTGTCGTGTAGGCCCTACTTCCAGATTGGTGGTGTTGTCCACAGATATATTGGACGCCAAACGCAGGTATCCGTTTGTTGTAATTTGTGAATTCGTTGTGCATATATTGTGTGGAAGTTATTTATTGAATATAGTAACTTAAATGTGATGTGATATTATGAAGGTCATGGAAGATGATCAAGAAATTGCTGCCTACATGTTCCGCAGAACTGTTCCTTCCATGCACTTGACCCCGGAAGATGTCCGTTGTATGGTATGTCCTTATAATCATCATTCATCATTTGTTTTTGTGTTTTTTGTTGAGATTTTGATTGTTAGTGATATGAAATGAATTTTGGGGTTTTGAATCTAGGACATGTATTGCTAATTTTGTAGTGGTTGGTTGATGGATACACAATATATATAAAAAAAATCAAATTTTGAATAATTTTATAATAAAAATACTGACCTAACTTAAAATTGAAATTTTTGTGTTTGCTCTCTTGTTATATACAGTTGGTAATTGGTTTTTTATTTCTAGTATCTTCTACAAATCCCTCTTTCTTGTAGAATCATTTACTTGCTGATGTATAAAGCCTATGAAGCTGTTCATCTATTCTCTATTGCCGCCGGACTAATTTGACTCGACCCATATCCTGCAGGTCGGGTCCTGGAGAGATAGGATCATAATCTTCACGGGTATATATGGGCCTACCCGGCCCATGATAAAAGCCTTCCTAGACTCAGGCGCCAAAGCTGTCGTGTGCCCTTCAACCGAACCTGAGGATCTGCAGCTCACATCCTTCTATGGGCCAGGCGAGTTCAGCAGCTACGAAAACGGAAGGTTTGAGATTGGCGAGGAAGAAGGAGATGAGGAAGAGGAAGAGAGTAGGCCCACAAGCCCAGCTAGCGACTGGGAGGACAGTGAGCCAGAGAAAAATGGGGAGGACTCAATGATGTTCTTCTGGGAAGATGATGAGAAAGAATTGTCTCAGTTCGTGAGCAAATTGTACGATGCCTTGTTTGTGGGTGGTGAGAGACTGAATTTTGCTTTGAAAAATGCGCTTGCTTCTCACAGGAGTTTGAGGTATACATGTCATTTGCCGGGTGGTGTTTAGATTTCATTTTTTTTTTTAGAAGACAAAGGAAAGGAAAAAGGAGAGTTTTGCCCGTTCGAGGTTATATACTAAAATCTCGTTCTGTAATAGTCTGTTATCTTGTATACTTACAATACTGTGAGGATTTTGTATGGAGAGTTTGGAAAAGAGAGGTGGGATACTGGAAAAAGGAGAAAGGGAATGAAAATTAGGACTTAGTTGGAGAAAGAAAACGGGGAATAAATGAGAATAAATCATGTATGTTATACTGACCAACTTTTATACTGATTATACCATACNTTGGTAATTTTGTTGTGACCTTTTGGTATTAATGCCCCGTATAAACAAGTTTGTTCGAAGAAAATTCACTGTTTCGTGGTGACTTGTGCTCAAAGTGACCAGTGTTTGAAACTCTGATGCACACTGGCACAACCCTGTTTTAAATTTTCAAGTAGCATTTATATTCCACCTTGGAACAAAATGATTTCCATCACTGTTAAAAATGGCTCCCATCAACTGGCAGGCTTGATAAGTTATAATTATAATGTTTGTGTAACTAAAATATATTATTTGAAGCACTCAAGTGAACAGAGTGTTCAATTCTTTGGACCACTCACCCAGCACAATTAATTGACTTAATGATCATCAAAATAATATTCATAATCCTCAACCAAATTGCATAAAGGAGACTTAATTAAGGCGTGCAAATAAATTAAAGAATCACCCTTTTTTTTTTCTCTTTTCTGTTTATTTTTTCCTTTTTGAAATTTTCAAACTGGTCTAAGGATTTCTGTAAACCCAACTTCATAATAACCTTTTGTAATTGTATTTAACTAATTTTGACCCTTTAAAAGAACATTATAATTGTTATTATTATCTGTTTCTTACTCTAATCATCACACACAATTTTTTTTTTAAAAAGAACAAAAATTAAAAGGAAAAAACATGAAGAGGGCACCAACTATTTGGTGCTTGTTTCTCAGACAGAGATGATGAGCACATTTCCATCAGGACAGGTAGAATCATGCAAAATCTCACGCTCTCTCCACTTTACAGTAATATAAACAAAATCTGATTAAGTACATTTTAAAAGGCAAGAACAAGGCCTCAAATCCACTCCCCCCAAAAGAAAACAATATCCATCAAGCCATAGTTTCTCTTCACCTTGAAGTTAAACAAACAACAATCATCATAACATATGCTAAACAAACATAACTCCAAACCCACAAAACCACACGATCTCAGCATGTCTGGAAAGATTCCATTAGAAATCGGGACACGAGGCACAATAGGATCACTTCTCAAGCTAGAGATTGAGTTCTTCAAGGGACTCGAACTTGAGCGTGTCGAGAGCTGCATGGATTTCGAAAGAAGATCACAAGAAATGGCCACCCAAAGGCGACATTCTTGGCCCAGCTTAAGGTTTCCCATTTTCTATTGGAAAAGGAAGAAAAAGAGAAGAAAAAGTGGAAATCGAGCAAGTATGTGCTCTATGGTGGAGATTGAAGATCGGCAGGAGCTCGATGAAATCCCTGGATTTGGTTACCTGAATCTAAAAGCCGAGTCTATGAGATACGATGTCGAATGAAATTATTAGTTTTTGTGATTTTTTAGTGTCAGCAAATTATTTAAACTTTGTGTTCAATCACACAACCTGGGATTTTTGCTGCATTCTATGTTAATGATTTTTAAGAGTGTTATGAAGGAACTAGGAAAATGTTTTACTGTTTCTTTCTAATAGTCCACAATTTTTTTCAAAAGTTGGATTACTGTTAGTCTGTTAGTAGTTAGTACAGCTATCAATACCATTTTGATAATGGAGGGCCATTGTATAGTGTGATCATGATAGTTAAGTAGCTTAAAATCCACACAAATCATAATTTTTTACCCTACTCTTTAACTTCAGAGCAAACTTAGTTGGGAAATTCCTTCCTCTTATGATCATTGTGAAATCTGACTTTGTAGAATTTATTCTTCATTGGAAGATGGTTAGATCATTGACATAATATTTTGGTTCTTAAAACCGTTCCTTCTCTTAAGTTTTATGGAAACTCATTGCAACATGCCTCAGACAGAATAAGCGAATTCATGAGAGACCTACAAAGTACTGCGAGAGGCTCTCAGTGTAAACATTCCCGATGCTCAAGTCAGTTACTTGCACCAAATAAGGATACGATTTGAAATTACACCAAATTCGACCAAATTCGCGAGAATATATTAGTTCATTCACAATGATTTGGGTTTTATTTTGTTTACATGAATGAATTGTAGATAGATCCAAATTATGTGTAAATTTGTTCACGTGGCGTGTAGATAGACATAAATCTTGAATGACATAGATAAAATTATATAAAAATAACACAATTTACTTGAATGTATCTAGGTTGGTCTCTACTTGAATCTAAAATAGACTTAAAGATAGATGAAATCTCTTTTTCATACTGTCATATTAGCAGGACTCAGTCCACTTACTCTGGAGAATATATTTTTAAGGTTGAGTCTATTTCCTATGTGGCATGTAATTTTTTTTTTATTGAACCCAAAGAATTGTAGATGTTCTACCTTCCTTTAGTATATGGACTCCTTTTCTTGAAGGAGTCCAATATTAAAGAATCTACGTTTCTCTTAGGTCGCACACAGTGAACTATATCTCATTGTGAACCATATTATGTTATTCGAGAACTCTGATTCGAGTCTGGTTACTTTGGAGAGTGACCTCCTATCGACCTCTAAGTCCCGAACTATTTAATAGTCTCGAGCTTCTAAGCCGAGTTTTATTATTGAGTTGTTTCGGTTGGTTATATCGTAAGACATCAAGCTAAATACGACCCTTATTTAAGTTTTATTTTAAAAAAAATATCAAGAAGAAATAAATATATAATATATAATATAAATTATGATTAAATTATTTATAATTTTAAATAATTTATTTATTTTATTTTTATTTTAATTAGATATATAAATTTATATAAAATAATGTATTTACAAATAGTTTCAAAAAATCTTATTTTAAGTTTGTATATCCATATATATTTAATATTCATTTATAAATTTAATTAACTTATAAATAGTTATATAAAATCATATGTACGTATACTATATATATATTTAATCAATATTTGTAAATAAATAATTCACTTATTTATTATATAAAATAATTGTAATAATATAAAATATAGTGCGAATACAGTATAATTTAAAATAAATATAATATTAATAGTAAAATAATAAGAAAATGCCAATATAAAAATTAAAATTATTCTTTCTATAACATGATGATGACAATATCATTTCATTCATGTCACTTTCTTTAGCATACCAAAATACCAAATACATTAAAAAAATACTTTATTCATTTTTAGCAATCATTCGATTTTATTTATTCATTTTATTTGTATTAAATTCAATTTCTATCATACCATTGTATTTTAAATTGAACCCTTTATTTGATTTCACCATTTATTTTTCAACTAGTGCGTAGCCCGTGCTATGCACGGGTAACCAATATTAAATAATATTAAATTACAGATGAAAGTAAACAATATTAACTAATAATTATAAATCAAAGATATAAGTAAATAATATTAAATAATAATTATAAATTAAAGATGTATGATTAACATGCGATGTACATATAGTTTACTGTATAACACAGTCAGCAGTGACGGATCTAGGAATTTCACCCAGGGGGGTCCGATTTTAAATAGTATAACGAATTTTTAGTTTAAGTCGAAACACTCGTTTCATATAAAAATGTATATACTATCAATATAAATATCGATATTGTACTATCAAGTTTTTAAAAATTTAGAATCCGTATTACCCTCAAACTTTAAAAATAATAAATAAAAAAATTGAGATTTTATTTATTTATAATTTAGTTAAATATCTATAATTTTTTTTAAAAAAAATAAGTTTTTTTGGTTGAAAATTTGAGTTAAATTGGACTTTTACATCACATTGCATAACATTTTTTTATGAGAGCTTATCTAATGAACATTTTCTTAAGAAAAAAATAAATATTAAAAATATATGATTACACAATTAAAAAAAAAAAGAAAAAGTAAAAAAACAACATTGGAAAATATAACAATCCAACTAAATACTCGATTTTGTAAATCACCAAATTGATTTAAAATTAAGAAACCGAAAGAGTAAATCATTATAAATATTTTCAAAAACTTATCTCGAAATGTAAAATATAAGAATTGTTAGTATATTTTTTAATAAATAAATAATATTATTAATTTATATTAAAATAGCATAAAAAATAAGCTGTAAGTATTATTATATTTTAAATATTTTTTACATTCCTATACATATCTTAGTGTATTTTCTTTATATATTATATATATATTGATATTTTTTTTCAAAAAACTCAGGGGGGTCCACGGCCCCCCTGGCCCTAGTGTAGCTCCGTCGTTGACAGTCAGTGTTCTAAAAGTCGCTAGGCGCTCGACCAGTGCCTAGAGCGCCTAGGCGGGGCTTAGTTGGGGCCCCGAAATCAATATTAAATACTTTATTTTTTATTTATTTTAACTACCTATAAAATAAAACTATCTCAGCTTATAATAAATTCACACACCAAAGTCCAAATAATAATATTAATATATATTAAAGAAAATATGAAAACAAAATAATGTAATTAGTATTTAAAAAAATGAAATGTTGTTGTCGAGCCCGCCTAGGAGCGCCTAGGTCCGCCTATGCCCGCCTAGACGCCGTCTAACCGCCTGACCGCTGATCCCGCCAAGCCCGTCTAGGAGTGCCTAGGGCCGCCCGGCCGATTTTTTCTGCCGATTTGTGCAAATCGAAGGCGCACGGGCACCGCCTAGGCCGATTTTTAGAACAGTGAACACAGTATAACATTATATTGTATATGAAGAAAATTAAAACTATATATTTAAAATATTAAAAACACCTAAAATATTATATAACATATGCAAAAGTATATAAAATTTTTTATATTATTAATGAAAGATGTGAAGTCACCCAAATTTTTTTAAACTATTTTGTAAAGAAACATAAAGATGAGAATCCACCTAAAATTTTTCTAAACTATTTCGTAGAAAACATATCTAAAAATATATAAAATTATGTAGATATACAAATAATATGTAAAATAATTGTTTAAACAATATATTTAAAAGTATCTAAAATATTACAGGCTTATAGGCTTAAAGAAAGATATTATGTCACGCCATGCATAGATATAGCTCCTAATAATAAAGAAATATTAATCACTCTTTATTAACACTTATATGTTAAATTAAATATATGATATACTCAAATAGCTTAATATATATATAGATATAGTTTCATTCATTCTCCAAATAATATATATAGTGAGTTCGATGATTGGATAATAATTATAAAACATTTTTACTTATATGTTTATTCTTATTTTCTTTATTTAATTTTAATTTTGACTAAATGAATAAATTGTAGTTAATTTTCATAAATAAAGAAAAAAATTAAAAAAAATTTAGAGGATACGTAACATTAAAGAGAAAAATTCCTTTTTTTTAAAAAAATATGTTACGAATTTTCATTAGTAATTATGAATTAGTTTTTTTTTAAAAAAAAAAAAAATATGTTACCATATAGAAGGGATGAGATTTTTTAAACAGATTTATGCATAAGAATGGGATTTAAAAATCTTTTAAACTTGTCAGAGGCGGATTTAAACATATGTGAGATTTTTCACTATGTAAGGGTTTGTAATGAGATTTTTTAAACTTATCCAGATTTATGCCAATGAAATTTGTAAACTTGTTGACCTTTATTCAAAGTATGTTATGCTAGATAAAAGGATCAAATTTTTTAATCTGTCGAGATTTATGCAAAATAGTAGGATTTTGTAAGCTTGCGAGATTTATGCATGAAGTTAATTAATTATTATTGAATTTTTGAAATCTTACCAATTATAGTATGTATTAATTATTACAAAATGTTTATGGCTACTATTTTTGGTAAATAGTAATTCTTTTTATATATAGATAGATTTACAAGCGTATATTTCCGCTTGTACCGGCTACACGTGTCACCTCCCATTTTCCGTCACTGAGTGACCCCCAAACCCCCAGCAGACTTCCAAACTCCAAAGTCCCAAACTTCCACAACAATGCATAAACGCCGTCGTTAATGGCCTACTTCAGATCACTCAAAACCCTAGCTTCTCAATCCCGGAGAAAAAACTCCAGTTCCACTTCTTCCAGCGCTCTCTTCTCCCTCAGAAACTCATCTCCTTCCCCAACTCCAGCTCCAGCTCCTTTTGGGCGACTAATCAGCAGTCACATTCGCCGGCATTTTCTCTTCCGGTCGAGGTTTATCTCGCCGGTGGGAGGCCCTAAATTCCTGTACGATCCTCCCTGGAGACTCTCTCAATCGGTCACCCCGTTCCTCGTCCAGTCCGACGTCGTACCGAGCTCCCTCAAGCTCCCTGCTCTAAATTTACTTCACCGGCTAGCCTTTCCTTACAATCTCGGGTACGATGCAAGGCTGCTGTTTCAGGGGAATGGTAGAGAGGAGTTTACGAAACGGGATGATCTTGATGGTGGTGTTGGCGGTGGCGGGATCCGAGAAAGTTACTTGAATATTCCTAATTTTATTTCTTTCGCTCGAATGCTGTCCGGTCCAGTGCTTGGATGGTGAGCTTTTAACTTCCTGATGTATTCATTTCTATTAAATTGGTATTGTAGTTCTTTTAATGGATAGTAATGTGGTGATCTGATTGGCTTGGGTACCTTATTTTATGGAATAATACAGAGTGTATTCTGCATTCTGCTTTAAATGCCATACGTGGAGGCTTTCCTGTGCCTTTAATTGGATTTGTGTGTATGGTGCATGTTGTAAGTGATCAACAAATGAAAGGAACTGTTTCCTCTTTTTTTATTATTCCGCATTCAAAGAAATGCGGAAGTGGTGGTTTCTCGGTATTCTTGTTCATGGTTGTTAAGGTGTCAGTAAAACTCTTAGTTTATCATGGAATCTTAAGGTTTATTCAGTACATGAATGTTGATATTCTAGGCAGGGAAAGAGGCCTGATTTCATTTAAGTGACTTGTCTCTCGAATGCTTATTACTCAGGTTTTGAAGAGTTACATTATCATCAACATGATGTTTCTTATTATCATCAACATGATGTTTCTGAATTTAGGCTGAAAGATTAGAATCTTTTTGGTGGGAAATGGTATAGGTTTTTGTAAGACATTTGATTACCCAAGTGTGCTCTTTCTAAAGATTTTGTTTGGGAGTCCTTATTTCTTCCGGAGATAAGTGAAGGGCATCATCATTTTCTTTTTCTCGATTTAGTTGCAGAAAACAGAATCTTGTTTTGTTTAATTTCTATGTGTTGATTAAAATACCCTTTTGCAGGATGATTGTCCAGGAGATGTATTCTTCTGCATTTGTGGGACTTTTCATTTCAGGAGCTACCGATTGGGTATTGATGTTATCCTCTGTTTTTTGTTCCCCTTTTTTTCGAGGACATTATGAACTGAAAAGATTAGGCAATATGTCTCGTCTGACGTCTCTAATACTTTTTCAGTTGGATGGTTACGTTGCTAGGAAAATGGGAATCATTTCTGTAGTTGGATCCTACCTTGATCCCCTTGCAGACAAGGTAAGATATAGTGAAGTGATGAATAATCAAGGGCCAACCTTCAAATCGTACCAGTTTTCGTAATTACTTATTATGAGAAGCTACCTTGGTCTCTTTGTTTGCTCACTGGTTATTGTTCATAAAAATATTTAAGGTTTTAATTGGATGTGTTGCTCTAGCAATGGTGGAAAAGGATCTTCTACATCGTAAGTTTATGTTTTCCTTTTTCTTTGATCTCCCATCATTTTTTATCTTGTACTATTGATCCGTATAACATAGATGTTCGTTCTTAACTACTAAAGATAACCTAGTTTGTTGCTACTGCAAATTAAGGTGGAGAGTAAAAAAAACTACAGTCTTATTTTCATTACCCGTATTGAACTCTTTGCTTTCATATTTTTTTGTAGGTGTTTTTGTGAATTGTGATGTCAGAATATTTTATTTAACGACTTATTCAGTTATTGTTTTACTAGCTTATACAAGTTAATTCTTTTCCATATGAAGCTGGACTAGTTGCACTTGTGGTGATGCGCGACGTTGCTCTTGTTGGTGGTGCGGTTTACAAAAGAGCTAGCAGTTTGAATTGGAAGGTGACCAAAAGCATATGAACTTTCCAATTGGTTTCAATTCAAAATCTTAATAGTTACTTTGCTCAATTTCATCTCCTTACTAGTGGAACAGCTGGCATGACTTTTTCAACCTCAATGGGGCTTATGCACAAAAAGTTGAACCTCTCTTTATAAGCAAGGTACATAAACTGTATAGCATTTGTCCATGTATGTAACAAGAATGAAGGGGTGGAAGTATTCTTTGAACATAGGACCAAAATAACTATGTTCTTGTATATAGAGATCTTCCACTGGTGTGTTGTACTAATTTTAGCTTTTGGTTGCTGAAAGTTGCTAAGAAAATTACAATAAGCATCACATTAACTATATAAGATAATGTTTTTTCTGTGTAATTCAGGTGAATACAGTTTTCCAACTCGCTCTAGTAGCAGCAGCCCTGCTTCAGCCAGGATTCGGAAATGAAGAAACTCAGCTATATATAAGTTGTTTGAGGTAAGTTAGCTTGCCTTACATCAGGTAGACTCCTGTTTGTGTAGGTATGAAAATTGATGAGCCCGTGATTTTGGTTTGTGGTGCAGCTGGTTAGTGGCTTCTACTACGGTAGCTTCAACTGCAGCGTATGGTGTGCAACACTTGAAAAATAGAGCTGCATTAATGAAGACACCCAAATCAAGAACTTGACCAATCTCCCTTTACTTCAAGGGAATGAATTGGCTTCTTTTCTTTATTCTTTTTTTTTTTTCGGTCGAATATGTTTTCATCAGGAACAACATTTTGTACTTCCGTGTTCCGAGTGATTGCATGTTGAGTTTTAACGAAAGTCAGAGATTGTTCACCACTTGATGATGGAAAATCTGTGACCGTCTCCTGGGTGAAAATAAATCTAATGTTTATCATGCCAAAATACATGTATTGTTTCCATTCTGTCATGATTTATCTTACTTCAAGGTAGTTGAAGTAAACATCAAAGTATCTTTGCGCATGCGATTTCAAATGATGGAAACGGTAAATCCCATTAAGGTGGAGTACACTAGATTGTTAATTAGTTGGAACAAAATTTGCTAGTAATGCCAAGAAACAAACCAAGCAACTCAAATTTCATGCTGCAAATACAATAAATAACCTTCATCTTCTTAGAGCCCTTTTTTCTACTCAGAAAATAAATAGCCAAAATCCAAATGATACTTCTCTGACTCCTATAACTTAGGCAAGCCATCCTCAACCTCACTCCACTTATCACTATTCCTCTGAAACTTCTCCTTCACAAGCCCAATAATCTCCCTAGCCTCGTCCACTTTCCCCATCCCCACAAGCCCATCAACAAGCAACTTCATGGTCGTCATGTTCGGCACCCATCCCTTCCCCATAACCTCCCTGCACACATCCAAAGCCGCCTCAAAGTCACCCCCTTTGCACATGAAAAACACGAGCGTGAAATAGCAAACGGGCTCCGGCTCCAAATCTTTCCCCACCATCTCCCCAAACAAGCCCTTAGCCACTTCCAATTTACCTTCCCGACAAAACCCGTAAATCAAGTTCCCGTAAGTCGCACGATTGGGCTTTATCCCTTTGGACACAATCCCACCCAGCAATGCTCTGGCCTCGTCAGATCTCCCGAGCTTGCAAAGGCTCTTTATCCTCACGTTGTAGATACTAATCCCGGGCTTCAACCCGTGTTTCTTCATGAGGTTCATAATCTTCCCCACTTCGTCATTCTTCTCCTCCATGTAAAAACCGGCGATTACAGTGGCGAACGTGGTCAAATTCGGTTTTACGTTTTTACCCTCCATCTGGGCCAGTATGGCGTGGGCCTCACTCGAACGGCCCCCGTCGCAAAAACCCTTGAGGACGGAGTTATACGTATCCAGATCCGGCTCCAGCCCGTATTTTCGGGGAAAATCTCGAAAAATCCTTGCCATCTCGGTATAATCGCGGGCCAGGAAGCAGGAATAGAGCAACGAGTTGAGAGTCTTCACGTTGCGGTTCACGCCCATGGCCGGCATCTGGTCAAACAGGTCGACGGCGTCTCCGACCAGGCCGCCCCGGCCGTAGAGGACGATGAATTGCGAAATCAGGTGCTCGGATTTGCGGGTGCTGAGGCGCTCCATGGAGTCACGGAGCAGGATCCGGATAGAGTCGGGGTCGTTGGAGTCCCTGAGTTTGGAGATGGCTTTGGTGTAGACGAGGCGGTGGAATTGCGACGCGGGGGTGAGGGAGGTGGAGTGGAAGATGTGGGGGATGCGGGCCGGGTCGGGCT